AATTAACAACACCAACAACAACGACAAATTATGAATTCTATAAATATTTTAACGAGTGCAAATACAACAATAGTATTTTTCTTGGAATCTTATCTTGGTTTTTAGCCTTTATTTTTTTTCTCAAATTCTGACTGTGAATCTAAACTGTTAACGATTAATTGTGTTTTTCTGCATAACCGGCGTTAAATAATCGATCAATATCACATCTCTGGCTACCAATGTTCAGCTTTAAAGTTCTCAATGAAACGAAAGAAAGAGGTAAGAATTGCTCCCATTAATTTCTAAAATTAAGTTTGAAATTTAAAAATTCCAAATTTTGATGTTACTATTCAATTTCTAAATGCAAATACGAATTAGAAATAAAAGTACACATTCAATGCTTCATCTTTAAGAAACATTCACAATTTAGCTATTGAGGTAAAGTAATTAGTTTTTGATTTTCTCATTTAATTCCTTTCAGCTTTTGCCAATCCATTCTTTACTTTTCAACTCGTCAGTGACTGCATTCGATCAAAAATCACGCGAAGTGAAGTTCGTGTCTGAAAAGGGAATGGTCTGAGAAAGAATTTTATGGGTCGCGAGATTAACTACGAGCTATTGTGAAAAAGAATACGAAACAGTTAATTAAAGTTTAAATGTGCATCGTGTTTTAGGTTAAGTTTGTTTGGATAGTTGTAGCAGATTTGAATAATTCACGATTTCATTCCAAATACTAAATCATATTTTTTCATAAAAACTGCTTTATGTAGATTAGGAGGACAAGATTTTAAGCTAAAGTTAAAAAAATTTGTTTATTCTAACTCGTTTCGCTCAATAACTTCTAATGAAATTAAAAATAGTCAAATCATTAGTTGAAATTGATTAAAGTACCTTTTTATTCTTTTTAATCAAAATATATTTATCACATTATTTTTTTTTTTTAAAAACTGCACAAAGATTAAAATTTTAATTTTTTAAAAATTAAAAGTTTCTTTTACACAATTTGATAACAAAAAAGAATGATTTCAAAACTTTGCAGACAATTTTTATTTCAGTAATGTATACTAATTAATTCATTACGATTAATATGAAACAACTTTTCTTTCCTTACTAATAATGCTAAAAGTAGGTTGTTGTTTTTTAATTAATTTATTTCTTTTTAATGCCTACAGCTATATAAAATGTGTTTAAAGTTTCAAATGTATTGCTTGCTTAAATATAAAAAAAGTTTCAATTGAATTGACCTAAATACTTGTAAGAAAAAAATTAACATCCTAAATAATAATTTTAAAAAAATTATTAAATCATTTTAGTTTTTTAAAATTTATGAAATTGATTTTTAAAGATTTGCCAGCATTAAATTTATTGTATTTATTTTTTGTAGCATGAAATTTTTCAACAGGCACATTTAGAAAGTAAATATGATATAAAAAAAAGTTTTAAAGAATATTATATAAAAATTGTATATGATCCAAAACTATAATTTTTTAAATATATATTAAGAGTCGAACAAATTTATTTAGAAAAATTTGCACTTTGTTAAACATTGTTTTTTGCTATTAATTGATATAAAGCAATTATTTTAAAGCATCGCAAAAATGAGTATATGAAATTGAGAAACATTAAAATCAAAACCATTTTTACCATTTATAAAGTACCATTTAAGTACTTTTCAAATCTTATAATGAACTATTTTGTTAAATTATTTGCTCCATAAATAATTGAATTATTATTTTAGTTATTCACTTCATATTAATCATAATATAATTATAATTTTTAATATAAATTGTATTCAGAATTATAATTGCATTAATTGTGTTAGTTATGAAACATTTATTTTGCTAGGAGCAAAAAATAATTAAATTTGTAATATTTTAAAATTGATTAGAATGTTACATATTTTTTTTTAAAAAAGATTCTGATAATGTAGAAATAAAATTTCTAGTAATGGAAATCAGTTAATTAATTAAAGTTACTGGAGACCGCTGCAAAATAATTAATAAAATTAAAATATTTAGTAAATATTTATTTCTTTAATCAATAAAGTGAATTTAAGAACTTTTATTTCATAAAAATTCAAATATATTAGAATGTTTTAAACAATAATAAATGTAACGAATTTTTAATATTAAAATAAAACTTAATCTTAAAACGTCTGTTTCATTTTCGTTCGAATTTTTTGTACGACTGTTTAAAAATATATGTACTTCGTAAATCCTACCAAAAATGGAAAAAAATTACTTCCTCTTCTATTTCCGGAGAAAAAAGTTTCGGCACTTTAGCTATTTACCGATTTCATTTCCACCTATTTGTTCAAAAGTTTCACAGTCTCTAACAAATTTTCTTTGAACAATTTAAATATCTTGTTACAAGTACAATTTTGAAATTCCTCTTGAATTGAATATTTGGAATTCTTTGAATTCTAGAAAGAATGAGAAGGTATATTCTTTTCCATACTAGTAAAATGGGGATTTCCTTAAAAGTTAGAAATATCATGAAAAATATAACGACATGATTTTTATTTTAAGAAAATAAATTGTTTTTAAAATATTTATGAGATAATTAAAGATAAATATTTCTGAATTTGTGCTGTTCGATATATTTTCTACTTTTATTCCTCGAAATTTTTATACGTATGTTTGAAAAATTATTTTTTTTGGGGGGGGGGAATTATATGATGCATAAAGTAGTTGTAAAGAATAAGTGCATTTTTAATAGTTTTAACAATTATTCTCGCTTCAGTTAATTTAAACTAATTGTATTTTTTATAAGTGATAGTTGATAGGTATAATAGTTTGCTAATAAAAATTTTATTATTATATAATATTACATTTCAAATGCAAAAATTTTTATAAATTTAGTTTTTCTTTCCTTCAAAAATCAAGTTACATTCACTTTTTTCAAAAAAATTATTATTTTTTTCAAATTTTATTTGAACATGGTAAAAATTAAATTAAGTTTTTGATGCACAGTAATTCTGTATTTAATTTAAATCTGAGTGTTAGTTTCCAAATCAGCTTACTAGTTTTTTTTTGTAATTTTACTAGTGATACTAAAACACTTCTTAACGATTTAGATGATTTTCGGACAGCAATTATGGGCTTATATGCAGTACATATAAGTCCATATTATGTGTACATTTCTGTACAGCAATCACAGGGTCGGTTTGAATAACCTGTTAGGAAAATAAAACCATTCGTTTTTGGCAAGTTGGCGATGTTTGTGATTATTTTAGGAGTAAACTTAATAAGTGTACATAAAATATAATTAGTGATATTCTACATTACTTCATCTTAATTAACTTAGTTTACTTCAATACATCACCACTGCTCAACCTTCAAGAGATCATTAATCACTTCGCGACTCAATGTGAATCTAGTTTAACGTACGGAGAAGGGATTCTAATGTTTGTTTTTTTTAGAGAAAAAGCATTTTTGTTTTAACTTAAAAATTACAAAAATTATTTTAGATTGTGCTTGTTTTTATACGAATTAGGTGAAATATCGGTAGAAAACACTAAAAAAATGCTTGTTTTTGTTCAAGATTAATTATCTGTTTTTGCTCTATTGAATGGTTAGAAAATAACTATGTCTTAAGAAAATAAACTAAATATTTCTTATTATTTTTAAAACAGAATAATGTTCAAAATGTTAGATTTAATAAAAATATGATATGAAAATTTGGAAATTTATAGGAGCTTCTTTTTAGTCATAATCGTTAAGGTTGAGGAAACATGGTTGCCAAAAAATTTTATTAGTTACCTTATGCTTTAGAAACTTGGAATATTTGTAGGCATACGCGGGGAAAAATTTGAAGGAAAATTACCGTAAAATAATTTTATTAGTTACTTAATTTCTTAGAAACTTGGAATATTTGCTTGGAACTTTGAAATTTACCATACTGTATGGTAATGATATTACAGTAAGAAAAAAACCGTACTTGGGGTAATAAAAATCAAAATATACACTATTTAAACAACTTATTTGGTAATTTTTCCCTTCATATGGTAAAATTTTACTAGAAATTCTGGTTTTCAAAATTATAGTTCTTATTACCACACATTTAGAAAAAACTACAAAACTGAAAAGTAAATTTAACCGAACAAATAGTTTTCATGCCATGCTCTAAGGTATCATTATACAATTACTAAATTTTAACACATTTACCAAATTTTATCACATATTATAAAACCATATTTATAGAAATTTTTTTCCAAAATCATTAACAAAGCTCTTCGGTAAAAATTACCGAGTTTTTTGGTATTCCTATAGAGCCAGAAGCACGGTAAATTTTACCATATCCAGGTAAAATGGAGCATAATTTTTTCTCAGCGTAGACCATGCATAAATATATATGAAATTCGACAAAAGATTTCTTTAATGAAATATATTTAACTGAGGGACTCTTTTTTTTGTGCTTGATAAAAACGTTCATTCTTATTAAAAGCAAAATTCATTCTTTTATAATTGACTGAGTAAACGCAAAAATGCTTTAAACAAATACACAATATTAAAAGTTACGTAACAAATTAGGAGATTTCTAAATGTTATTTAGTTAATTAGGTCAGCATAACATTTCTATATAATACAAGGTCATTCCTAATACACTTTTAAAGAGCGCACAATTTTTAATATCGAATGAAACTTGAATATTCAGTAAATTAAATGAAACTGAATTATTTTGGAATGCTATATCTGAATACTGAGAGAGTGTATTTAGAAACATTTAATGACGTTTTCAAAATTAACTGAACTTACTGAAGGCTAGGCTATTACAAAAACACAAAGCTAAAAGTGACAGTTAATTGTTAGTTTATCTTTATTGCAAGTTAAACGAAAAGTTTATAGTCCAGCTTCTTTTTGATTATTTATTTATTTACTTGATAAGTTTTTAAGATCAAGTGCGGGTTGTTTTTCTAAAAGAATGAGCAGATTAAGCTAACTTTGATACTATAAGTTCTCATTTTTCTCAGCAATAAAATAATAGCTATTCACGTGTTTAGTCATATATCAGATACTCACCATACATAGTTGTAAACAATGGGATCAGTTGGCTTAGAGATTTTGGGTACAGAGGAGTGAAGGCTTAAGAAAGGCTGGTACGAACTCCTCCTACGTTTCCTTCTTCTATACACAGAATATCCGGCAGCCAGCATCAAGATGAGGAACGAAATTCCCAAAACTGCCACCAAATACTCAGGGGCTGAAATAAAATTCATTATTTAGAATTATTTACTCTTCAAAAGTTTAAGAATAATATTATTTACGAGCAATTTTGTGTTTTAGTGTGTTCGAAATTTCTGAATATATAGTATTTTATTTTATAACCGTCGTTGAATAGTCGACCCAATTTATTGGGTGTACGACTACTAATATTCAACTCCGTAGCCTTGTAATTTTGAACCCAATGCAGAAGACAAGGGAACTACTGGATCAAGTATTGGGAGAAATTTGCCTCCGTGGAAGTTTTTTTGAGGGAACTAACCCGCATTTGCGTTACAGGGAGAGAAAAACCACGAAAGCCACCCACGTTTAGCTTGACAGCAAGGGTACTCTAACCCATGATCCGTCTACCACTAAGGATATTTTACGTCAGCACTGTGGTCGGAGTGAGCCGGGTTCGAATTCGAATTGACCAGCTATCACTGGGATAGAACCCATGTCACGTCACCCATTTAGAGGCTAGAGCTTTATCCCCTGAGCCACCACGACTCTGAATATATAGAATGTAGGAAAAAGAAAGAAAACGAAGCATATTAGTAACTTTCGAATTTAATGATCGGATTTTCACGTACTAGGATGCGATCTTAATGGTTCAAAGGGGTGACTTTGATGTTGCGCAATGTGAGTAATAACAGTTTAATTACGAAATCAGACTCAGAAACACATTTTCCAGGAATAAACATTTAGACCTTCGAAATATGCGAAATAGCCACAATCTGGAAAAAATTGTCTCAATTGTTTAAGCAAGAGAGCGGTCAAAATCTTTGACTCCTTAATATTAATTTCATATTTTGCGTACTTCACCATATCTCTAGAACAATTTTGGAAGAAAGATTTTAAAATTTTTATTCTATGAATTTTGGACACAATTATAAAGCTCATTTATACAAGGATAATTTAATGTAAGAAAATACTATATATTTTTTAGATTTTCATTATAGCCCAAAGCTTTTAAATTCATTTAGGTTATGTAATTTAATTTGCAACATAAAATTCGAATGGAATCGATTGAATATTTCTTTAGGTACGAAAATTTAAAAAAATGATGTCTTTGAAATTTCATTGTCCAGAAATTGTTTGACTGACTTGCCTGAAATTTCGCAATTTGTTGTTTAAGATTACGCAATTTAAGAGGAAGTAAAATTCTGTTATCTTACAATTAAAAAACGCTGACCATTATCAAATAAAAGAATTATAAATTATTGTTAAAAAATTAATTTTACATAAAATTATGCTTAGATAAACCAGTTTCATAATTTTTTGCAAAATTCTTTTGATTTTTTCATCCAGTTAGAAAGTTAGAACAACAATCAACATCAATTGGCCAAACTTCTCTAGACTGTATCGTAGGATCGTATTTTCTTGATTGCAGCTAACCGCATAGTTTCATGTTCTAGAATCCATCAGTGAAATAAATATTTTTATTCAGTGAAAAGGCATTTTTATAACTAACTTAAAATATCTTCTGTATTAATTAATTAACATATTTAAGATTAGTCTCTCGAATCGTTAACGGTGCATAGTAGTATGGGAGGACCTGATTAATAAATCGCAAATTTTTATGGTGTTCTGATTTTTATTTTGTGTACTCTACTTTGAAGTACGCTGATTATTATTATTATTATTTTTTGCATTAAATGACTTTTCTCCTGCTCTACAAATTAAATTACACACAATATTTTACTTTTAGTATTCTGAGGACTTTCATCTTGCGTATCTAACTCTAGGAATTAATGAATTAACAATTTGTATCATCAATATAGACTTATGAATTACCCTGAACAATGAAATTAACGAAAATTTAATTTACTTTGACATATTCTGATGATGTTCGCACTTAATCAAGTTATTTTGCATACTACTCATACATACGACTTTTGTCATAGTTAACAAAATATTATATTGAAATGAAGTATTGAAGATATTGAAATTTACTTCCAAGAATTTTGATGAAAATATTCTTTTTTACGTGATTTAATTCTATACTACTGAATACTTAAATTGAATACAATACTTTCTCTTAGAGTAATCTGATAATATCCTGCTTTTCGCAAATTTCCGCCTGTAATATTAAAAAAAATTGCACTTTAAAGTAAAGTATGAAACTTTTTTTGATTCTGACGGTACAAACAACGGCATAAAAGGAGAAAACAAATGAATAAAAAATAAAAATTACAATAATAATAAAAATAAATGAGAAAAAAAAACTAAATTCCCCTTGAATACATTAAAATATTATATTATAGCATAGGAATGAAAAGAAAGCATAGGAATGAAAAGAAAGCATAGGAATGAAAACTTAATCGAAAGTGAAATTTATTCATGAATTACGATATAAAATTCATACCTTAAAAATAAAAAGATTATTAGTACAAAATTAGAAATTAAAAACATGTCAAATGCAGCTACTTTAAGGCGAAACCCATTTTTATCTGTTTAAATTCTTTCTTTCCTTTTTTTCTCAGAACACTTTTTTATTTTATGAATAATAGATTTTCAAAAAAATTATTGAATCTAAATCTGAATATTTACTTTAAAGCATTACGATGATTTTTTTTCGGTATTCCATGATTTACTTTTATTTGACACTATGAAGTATTAAAACTGACTGCAATAATTTACTTTTAAGTTTTCTAATGACTTTTATTTTGCTTTATACCGAATCACGCATAATAATGTGAATGAAGTAATTTACTTTTAATTATTTTGATGATTCCTACTCTGCTTTATTTCAGTATTATTCTGCCTATGAAGCCTTAATTTTCAATGTAATAATTTACCTTGAAAGTATTCTATTTGTCATTTTTTTTACTTAAGCATGGCAGTAAAAAGAAATCCATCTCTGAAAGGTTTCCTTTTCGGAATTATTTCAATAATTTTGGTTCTATACAAAATGATATTTAAGGAAATTGCATCAAATATTCCGACAGCCGGGGATTGAATTGGATCACCTATGTTCCTCCACTGACCTATTTATGGTCTGAAAGCATTACTTGGCTTTTTGAAAAATTACTGCATTTTGGAGGAAAATACTGATTTCTTTGGTCATTATCCAAAAGGAGAAATTTTTAAAAAGGAGAAATCTTTTTCCTACTTTGTATAAAGATTGTACGAACAGTAACAATGATATATATTTTTATTTAGGTTCATTTTTTATACAATACAATATATTTTATTTATAGAATTTTTATTTTGATCTTACAGTAATATCAGTTTTATTCAAAGCATTTTTAAGAGTTCAATCAAAACAATTTATTGCATAAAATGCTGAATATATTTCTGAAACAATTCCATAAAGGAAACTGCTGCACTATGATTTTAAGTGTCAATTACATAAACTTATATTAACTGTAATATTATAGTGGATTTCCAAACTCAGTGATACTATTTAAATGGTTCCTTGGTATATAAATGACTTCTTATAATTTGCATATTTTTCAGATTCTAGGACATAAATTTAAAAATTATTGTTTTTAACTACTAAATTATTATTTTTAACTACTAAAAATAATTAAATTAGTTATCCTTCAATTGATAAGAAATTATTATAATTTTATATCTTTAGAACACGAGTTTAGACTCGTTTTATTCCTGCATCCTACTTAAATCTTCGAGTAATGCAGACACTTTAAAAGTTCTTTTCTCCGGAATAATTTTGCTTCACGCTTTTTTCCATCTTTAAAACAAAAACTTTTAAAGTTCTGTATAATATTTGAAATACATATAAATGTAGTTATTTTACTTTGTTAGAAAATATTTTTAAATTATAATTTATAATTTATTCAAAGGGAACCACAAAATTTAATACAGAAGCAAAAAATTTCATAGATATAAAAATTTAAAATTTAAAATTTTTTAAGTGATTTTTAATTTGAATTTTTTTTTGAATGATTTATAAATTATCACTGATAATTTTTTTAGTAGAAGTATAAAAAAAATCAAAACAATAAACGCATTTTTATAAAAATATTAAAAAAATTTTCTGGTTTTCCTTAAATAAAATTTAATCTACAAATTTTTATAACAGGTAGGGGAGAGTCGGGTAGCCCCGCCCTGCGGGTACCCCCACCCACAGCCAATTTCATATGTATAGAATATTTTCTCAAATCAATGGGTCATCGGACATTAATTGTTATATTAAAAAAAGATTATTTTCAAAGTTTCAAGTATTTATGCAGCTGTTAACATGGTAAACAATAGTTCTGAAAATATGTTGAATACAGTAGTCATGAAATTAAGAAAAATTGGTTGAATGTTTCGATTAAACTTCATTTTAATACTGAAAAAATAATTTTTTTTATACCTACAGCATTAAAGTCTTAAGTTTAATTTGCACGAAGAAAGAAGTTTATATGTGAAAAATTGTTCAAGTAATTATAAATTTACAAAAAAATTGGATTTCGGGTAGCGCCGCTCACATGAATGTCGAGTATCACCGCTGAATTTTATTTCGTCGAAAAATGTACGGTTGCAAAGATTATTATTTTATTGCTTCAAATTTGAATGTTATATGCATTTTTAACAACAAATATTGTTTTAATTAAATTATTGTTATTAAATGATAGAATTCACTAAAAATATATAAATATGTAATAAATAAAATAATTTTGTGATAAAAATGATAAATGAGGTTTATCTATTGTCAATACATTGGTGACTTTCATTTATCAAAACACATAATTTTTGTACCTGGGCGGGGCTACCCGTACACATTTTGAAAAGAGTTGAAAAACATGTTTTTTTTTAATTTCTATTTTTTTCAGTTAAACTATTCTTTTTCTGGTTTATTCTTTTTGCATTATTTAGTTAGATGGTAACATACAGAAATATTGATTATTACTCAATATTATACAGAAATATAAGCAATACTCCTTAAGTGGGCGGCGATACCCGACTCTCCCCTATATAATGATTGTAACAATGAGTAAAAAAACTTTTAAAACAGGGATTGAATGATTGTAACAATAAATTATAATAGAA